GTTCCGAGTTTCTCACGACAGTTCGATAATATTAACTTTCCTTCAATCTTCCCAGAACCTCTCCAACAGATATGAAGCCTGATGCGCATATGGACATATAGTATTCTACCTCGAATCTACCTCAAATTGATATCCCTATGCATACGGAACTCGATTATCCTGCAGTGGAAGGAACCATATGGGAAGTGTATCGACGCTGTACTAGTTGTGAAATTGACCACATGAAGCGTCACGACCGGGTACGTTTGACGAGTACTACAGACGTCGAGTCATGTTTAACCTGATAAAGCCCTGAAACCTAAAAAAGAGGTCAGTTCTTATGTATGGCTTCGGGCTACAAATTTATTTACGCAAAACCAAAAAAAGCGCTCAAACAGTTGCAGCAGAACGATGCCATCACTTCTCTGATGACTCTTGGTCTTCCTGGGCTCATACTATGGTATTCCGTTATAGTTTGTATCGATGTTATGAAGGCACTGAAAATCGTAGCAGGTTTATCACATAGACCTAGTGTTCATTATGAACCTCAAATACAAGGTGTTCATGAGACACGCCACAGAAAATTGAAAAACTCTTGGGTATTTGCCGTAATAGATGATGTCGACAGTATATGGCACAATCATTGGTACTGTATTCAAACTCAGATCAATAACTGCATATCTCTTAGATTGAATTTTTATATATTTTTTTACCCCATTCGTCGCTATAGTAAATAGAAACAACTTTTATAAAACTATGCACGTTGCATATGGCTACAAAATGAAGCGCAAAGACAAGAAGTTATTACCCTGTTTTAAATTAAAAATAGGAAATTTCCGATAATGACACAGAAAGAATACTTTCCAATTCAAAGTGGGCGACTACGTATACTATTCCAATTTGTATTATCTTTTAAGACCGAAGGACCTGTGAGAAGCATCTTTGAAGAGTGATACGTACGAGTTAATTACTGTAGGCATACTAGCGCTACTGATCTAGATAAGTACCATATTGCTGCATCTTTATTTGACTTTGATGGTCCGGTCGTGGGTCACGTATCAAATATGTTATAAACACAACTTTCAAAGACGGATGCAACTACTGTACTACACGCCTAAAAAATGGCACCGCTATAGTCGGCTAACGACCTATACATTCAGTAGGTTTTACTAACCCCTGGACACGTTTGAAAGAAATAGCACCATGAATGACTAATGACTGATCCTTTTCGCGAGTTTTGCTATTTTCTATAAAATCTCAATATGCAATGAACAAATCAACTACACTAGAACTCACTATTCAGGTGAATACCAACACACATTGACGGTTCAGATAATCCTTATTTACAGTATACTTCACTCGTGACAAAATTCTCGGATCATTTTACCACTAGTGATAATAACGTAGCTCTAAATAACTATGTCAAATTTAAAAAGCTTACACTATATATATATAT